TGGATGATAAAGAGAGATGCAAGGAATACTGCATCTGGATACCTCAACTCTTTAAAACAAGACAACTAACATCTCAATTCTCAATATATAAAACTTTCCTACGAAGACTACATTTCATGTTTCTAATCATTTAGACAAAAAGGGCAAAAGGGAAAGAAAGTACATAGGTTATAGGAGGTAACCTGCCAGCACCCCAGAAGCACACCTGTTGAAGTTAAGACCACTCTATCCAAGACAATGTTTATAGGGCATAGATCCTTTGCAACAGCTCCAACAGCAGCTGCCTCAGCTTCAATCTAATAGCACAAACAAGATTTTAAAAACCATTAATAGATTTTAAAAATCATCAATACTCAAATGAAGAAAAGGGTGAACGCTAAAGTGGCTGGAGAAGGCACTTTACCTCGAGCTCAGTTGCGGGAACAGGCGTAATATGATGCGAGGCATGAAACATGCTGAAATGGTACAAACTTGAGTTCTGAAACCAGATAGCTAACCATGATATGCGTAAGTATGCTAAGACAATAATCCAGTTAAATTAAACAACATCTAATAAAGTAAACAAAGATCCTCAATGCTTGATCAGATATCTAAATACTTCCACATGGCGATCATATATAATGTACAAAAATGAAAACTTTAAACTAAAGAAAAGATATAAACTAAGGCCCCATTTTGAAAACTTGAGTTAAAAAGTTGAATTTAAGTTTTGTGAGAGAAAACACTAACAAAAACTGACTTGAGTTGTAATTCGAACTAACGAAATGAACGGGGCAAACAATTCTGGAACAGGTTGGTAAAGCAAAAGCTTACATTTATCAAAGTACGGATTAAATATTCGTTTCACAGCCTCCCTGCATCAAGCCAAGCATGAATGCATCATTCAAGAGATTCAGACACACCAAGCAAAAAGCAAATAAATGTCACATATAAACAAAAGAGGAAAGCTTTTGTAATCAAGAAAATGGAAGTGCCAAAGCACATAAAAATTGATCAATTATAAAGTGATCATAAGATCAGCTATACGCAAAATTCGCACCTTCTTAAGCTAGATTTATCCTGTACGCAAGTAAAAGAAAAAAAAGAACCACAAAAAAAAAAAAAAAGAGAATTGAACTTACGAGATTGGAACCGAGTAATCTGTGCCGAGAAACAAAACATTAGCACGCACAGGCGGATTCGCGGCCTAAAATCGCAAAGATTCCAAATCGTCATTCGCAGATCAAACGAGAAAATTCCACAATCTCCAATTCAGGTAATCGAAAATCAAGATCCTTCACCTTAAGCACCGGCGTTACAGATCCGTCCTTGAGAGCGAAGATGTCAAAGAGCGACAGCGACTGAGAAGTCTCGCCGTGGTTCAGAAACGACGCTCCGTGGTCATCCAAATCCCGAGCCATCGCGTCGTAGAGCTTCGACCTCCGCTCCTTATTGGAAACCGAAGAACCTGCAGGTGTTCGTCTGATGGAGTGAAAATTTTCTCGAGAACCAAACGGAAAAGGGAAAACGATCAAAATGCGTACCTGAAGAAGAAGAAGAAGAAGAAGAAGAAGAAGAAGAGGAGTGGGAGTTGCGAAGGGCCATTTGGAAGAGAGCGTAGAAGACGGTGGCGGAGACGAGCCAGATGAGAAGTATGGTCTTGGAGCGGCTCCAGTGGCGGGACATGATTGATGATGATGATCCGGTGCCGTTTTGGATTTCGCCCAAAGAACGGAAATAAGGCTGAGTAAGGACTGCTTTGGCTCAGTAGCTCACGCCGGCCGACGCGTGGCCTTTTAAAACTTTTTTTTTTTAACCATCTTCATTTACTTGTTCTTGTTGAAGTACGTAAGAGCATAATTTTAGTTCATTAATAAGAATTTTATTAGAGAAATTTTTTTTGAATTCAAACACTTTGTGAGATAAAAAAATACTATAGTATAATCATGATTTTGATTTGAGTATAGTTTTTAAACAACTCATAATTTATTAAAATGTCAAGTTCATTGCTAGCTTCAAGAATCGTGATCTAAGACCATCTTTAATGTAAATGCTAATGTCAATTGTTTATTTAACATAAAAAATATGATATGGTATGCTATTTTTATTTTTACTCTAATACATGATGTTTTCTAAAAGGTTAAATATACTTTTTTCTCTAATCATTAAGCTTTAAAGTTGTAAAAGTAAACTTTCATTTTTAAAATAATTAGAAAAGATTACAATGATTATATGAAAAAATAAACATTTTAACTAATAACAATCAAATACTAAATTTCATATGTTATACTTAGTAGAAATTTGTCATAAAAAAATATAGCATATGAAAAATTTAGCATAATAAATGGCATTGCATTAGATGTTATTTCTTACACTCAAATGTTAAATTTACAATTAACACATCAATAATACCATTGTATTGGAGATGTTATAAAATTATTATTTTTATTTACTATTTGTATTATTATTATTAAGGAGAATGAAATAAATAGCAGATTTGTGGTAAATAATTTAAGTAAATAGCAGATTTTAAAATTAAATTAAATAATAGTAAATTAAAACTTTATGTGGAAAAAAATCTTTTTACCATGTTAATCCAGCTGTAAATAAAAAATTTACAAGGTAAAAAATCCTTTTATTGTATTTACTTTAAATATTTTAAAATCTTTTACTTCTTTAGTTTAATTTTTAAAATTTTCTATGTTATATTATTAATTATTATTAATATTGTTATTATTTTTGGAATGGAGAAATAATAAAATATTTGCACATTTTTAATTACATGTTTATTTTTTAAAATGTTTATGTTAAAAAAATTTTAGATAAAGTTTTGTTAAATTTAAAATGTAAACAGACTATTTTTTGGCAAACATTCTATTTTAATTACGAGGTTGAAACTACTTAGTCAAAGATTATAAGATGTTTTTTGTCACGCCCTGAAGTCGGGGTTAGTGATGTGGAGGCTTGTTTAGGAGTTAAACGCGATTAAACATTTGAAATCATAATAATCAGAATCAAAAGGAAAGTATTTTAAGAAATTACCAAATGAGCCCCCGTTATTTGGCAGAAAATAAATCACAAGAAAGTTACGGGGTCGCCCGCACTTTCTAAGTCGTTCAAGGCTTCACCCACAGGATATGCAACATTGTACATACATGAACATGTAAATAACATTACAGACATCAACCATAGTCTAGAAATCCAAAGTTTAGAGTCATAGAATTTAGAATTCTTACATTTGTACACCAGGAGGATGAACACAATCCTCACCAACTCAGGTGGTAGCAACTAACTCAGCTACTTCGCACTGCTCCTAGAGTCGCCTGGGAGAGGTTAATATTTATAAAATAGATAAAATGTCAGCGAAATGCCTAGTAGGATATATTTTAAAATAACTTTATAAGCAAGTAAATAAATGAATGAGTAAATAAATAAATGAATAAGTAATTAAATAAATATAGACATTCCGTTCCAACACAACAGCTGGAACCTCACATTCTTTTTCTGAAAGGAATATAAACTGAAAATTCCGTATTACAGGCATCAGCAAGTAATTTATTCTCTCATAAATTACTTACACAACCATAAGGACAAGCCTTATCACCACTGTAGTGGCCCAGTCCGAGTTTCAAGTTCTGCCTCTAAGGATACACTCTCCATATCCTATCTAGGCCATCAGCCGGTTTACCGATTCGCAAGATCAGTTATTTTAAGAAATCATTCATTAAACTTTCTGAAATAGTTCATTATAATTCCAATAGCTAAAATCAAGCTACTGTTTTGAAAATGCCTTTCTTTCGCAAACATGCCCTTTCTTTAAAACATTTGCAAGGCCAAAACTCTTTTTAAAATCAGGCTAACAAAGAAAGGGGTAAGAAATCCTACCTCGCAAGTATCAAACCTGGCTAGCGTTGCACTATTCTGACTTTCGCTTCCTCAAAGCCCTTCAATCCGAGTCCTCAGCTAGCACTGATACAAAACAACACTTTAGGATCCAATTCTCATTCCTAAAGCTGTTCAAACTCAATTATATCATTTGATTTCCTATTAGTGTGCCTTAATCAAATTTCAAGTTTCATTAATCAACTTACGTTTCAAATCATCATTCCAAGGATTTTCAATCTCAAAAACATGGATAAAAGATGCTAATCTATTCACTTTAGATCCCCAAATGAAGCTAGTTTGGGTTTTCTTCGAAAATCAGGATCAAAATAGGGTTTTCAAGAAAAATAGGGTCAAACCCCGTGTGCACCGGTCGACCGGTGACAGAGCCATACAACATCACCGGTCAACCGGTGGTGTGCAATTAAGTCGACTGCATAGGTCAACCTGATGTAGTGCAATCCGGTCGACCGATGGAGAACTGAAGTGCGAGAACACTCGCTGAATCAGTCTGAGAACCTACAAATCTGAGTTTAATTCGAGATTTTTCACAGGGAAATCATCATATCCAGGTTTCAAATGACAAATACAGTCCAAAGAACCAAAAATCCCAAATTTCCACCATGATTTTACCAAAAATCCATCAAAACCCGTTTTGAACAAAAATAGGTTTTTTCAAATCTGAAAAATTCGAGATTCAAGAGAAGCTTTTCAGAAATCTTACCTCAATCATTCTCTTGACGTTAAAAACTTCTTAAAATTCTCCTTTGCTTCAAGATTTGGTTATTTTGAGACACAAACGAGAGAGAGAGAGAGAGAGAGAGAAAGAGTGCACATGAAAAGAAAGAAAGGGAAGAAAAATAAAAGAAAAAGGAAAAGAAAAAGAAAATGGACATGTATCACAAAATAAAAGACAGTCTAGAAAATGTGTCTACACACACTCTGGGGTGGAAATGTAAATACTGAAAATATTTAAATTTACATGTCAGAAGTATTTTTTAATCAATATTTAATCAATTAATCAGATTAGGCACACTAATAAATCTTAATTACCTTAATTAATCGCATTTAATTCTTCGAGGTGTTACAACTCCACCCCCTTAAGGAATTTCATCCTCGAAATTAAGACTTAACTCAAAATGCAAACAGATGCGGGTACTGCTCCTACATCGTCGTTTCAAGCTCCCATGTCATTTCCTCAAGTCCATGGTGCTGCCATAAAACTATCACTAGTGGTATCTCGCGATGACGCAAACTCTTCATCTTCCTATCAAGAATCTGAACTAGTGCCTCCTCGTATGTCGTGTCATATTGTATTGGAATATCAAACCATTATACCATGGCTTCCGGATCAGGTTGACATTTACGAAGCATCGAGACATGGAACACGTCATGCACGTGAGATAGCTCAGGCAGTAAAGCCAAACGATACGCCACGACACCAACTCGTTGCACGATCGGGAATAGTCCAACGTACCTTGGCGCAAGTTTTCCTTTTACACCAAAATGAATAACTCCTTTGCGTGGAAAAACCTTCAATAAAATGAAGTCGCCTTCTTGGAATTCCAAAGGTCTACGCCTTCTGTCGGCATAACTCTTTTGATGACTCTGAGCTATTAACAATCGTTCCCGGATAAGAACTATCTTCATGTTGTTTTCTTGAATAACTTCTAGTACAGTAGTAAGTCAATCTCCTAGTTCCAACCAACAAACAGATGATCTACAAGGTCGACCATACAGAGCTTCGAACGGAGCCATGTTGATACTGGCCTGATAGCTGTTGTCATAAGCAAACTCAGCAAGGTGAAGGTATTTCTTCCAGTTTCCACCAAATCCAGAATACAAGCACGAAGCATATCCTCCACAATCTGAATAACTCTTTCAGATTGCCCATCAGTCTGAGGATGAAATGATGTGCTAAAATTTAATTCTGTTCTCATGGCTTTATGGAAACTTTTCTAATACCTCGCATTAAAACGTGTATCGCGGTTAGACGTAATAGACAACGGCACTCTGTGAAGTCTGACGATATGCTCCAGGTATAACTCTACCAGAATCTTCTGGGAATACGTCGCACAGAACGGTATGAAATAAGCAGATTTCATCAATCTGTCCACCACCACCCAGATGGCATCGTGCTTCTGCTCAGTCCTCAGAAGTCCCATCAGAAAGTCCATTGTGATGTGTTCCCCTTTCCATCCCGGCACAGGTAGAGACTGCAATTCTTCAGCTGGCTTCTGATGCTCAGCTTTGATCCGGAGACAAGTTACACATTCTGAGACATATTCACGAATGTCTTTCTTCACACCTCTCCACCAGTATTGTCTTTTCAGATCCTGGTACATCTTGGTACTTCCCGGATGAATAGCGTACCGTGATTTATGGGCCTCATGCAGAATCACCTTCTTGATCTCATCAACCTTAGGAATGGCTAGGCGATTACGGAAATAAAGTACCCTATCCTCTCAGATTCTCCAATCCTTAAGTTGCTATCCATTTTGGATTCGAATCCAAATTCCTTGAAGATACAGATCCTGCCACTGATTCTACTTAACCTGTTACACAAGAACCGGTGTATAGATTAGATTATACACTATTGCCTGGTTATAATCCTCGTGGTACTGAAGATCATAATCGTTTACCACTTCAGTCCTTTTCCAGTCTTCCATAGCTAATGACGCCATGATTCCTGTAGTCTTCCTACTGAGGGCATCAGCTACCACATTAGCTTTTCCTGGATGATACTACAGCGTGAAATCATAATCTTCCATGTATTCCATCCATCTCCTCTGCCGGAGGTTCAAATATTTCTGAGTAAACAAGTACTTCAAACTCTTGTGGTCAGAGAAGACTTTGAGCTTTGCTCCATAGAGATAACATCTCAATATCTTTAGAGCAATATCACCGCTGATAGCTCCAAATCATGTGTGGGGTAGTTCCGCTCATGTGGCTTCAATTGGCGAGATGTGTAGGCTACAACGCGTCCACCTTGCATCAAAACACAACTAAGTCCACTTCCCGAAGCGTCAAAATATACTTCGTATGGCTCTTCACTATCGGGTATAGTCAAGACTGGTGCACTGGTCAGTCTTGCCTTCAATTCCTAAAAGGCATGTTCACACTCAGCGTCCCATTCGAATCTGACTTCTTTCTTGGTCAACCGAGTCATCGGTGCAGCCATGCTCGAGAAGTCTTTTACAAAACGCCGATAGTATCCTGCTAGTCTAAGGAAACTGTGAATCTCTGCCACATTCTTTGGCCTTTTCCACTGTTGCACAGTCTCAATCTTAGAAGGGTCCACGAAAATTCCTTGTCCTGATATCACATGTCCAAGGAACTTCACTTCCGCCAGCCAGAAGTCACACTTCTCTTTCTTTACATACACCTAGTGTTCACGAAGAGTTTGAAGAACAATTCTCAAATGATGCTCATGTTTCCTAAGTCTTCGAATAAACCAGAATGTCATTGATAAAAACAACCACGAACTGATCCAAGTAGGGCCAAAAAACCCAGTTCATCAGATCCATGAATGCAGCTGGAGCATTCGTCAACCCGAAAGGCATTACCAGAAACTCGAAAGGCCCATACCGAGTTCTAAAGGCAGTTTTTGAAATGTCTTCCTCCTTAATCTGAAGTTGATGATATTCAGACCTCAAGTCAATCTTAGAGTAATACTATGATCCAATTGATCGAATAACTCATCGATCCTCGGCAGCGGGTATTTATTCTTCACAGTTACCCTATTCAATTAACGATAGTCAATGCATAACCGAAGAGATCCGTCGTGCTTCTTTACAAACAACACCGGTGCACCCCAAGGGGAGGTACTGTTTCTTATGTACCCTTTTTCCGTTAGCTCCCCGAGCTGTTTCCTTAATTCTTTCATTTCTGCAGGTGCCATTCGATAAGGGGGAATGGAAATTAGAGCCGTTCCCGGTATCAAATCAATGCCAAATTCAATCTCCTGATCTTGCGGTAAACCAGGTAACTCTTTGGGAAATACATATGCGAACTCATCCACCACAGGAACTCCTGCATTGTCTCCAATTATCTCGGGTTTACCTTCTAGAGCAAGAAGGAAAGAAAAACAAGCTAGATTCCTACGTCCCCCAACACTGTATCTTAATAGTCGTTCTTCCAGGACTGGATTCATGTCCGCTTGATAGGTAATTACCGCTCCAGAATTAGTCATCAAGGTTACTCTCCTACGGTAGCAATCAACAATCGCACCATATTTTGACAGCCAATCCATTCTGAGTACCACGTCAAACAGACTCATCGAAAGGATTATCAGGTCAGTTCTCAATCGCTCACCTCCAATCGTGATTTCACATGATCTACATATACTAGCAACCTCCACACATCCTAGTGGGGAGTTCAAGGTCATCGGGGTTTCTAATCTCTCAGCTTTCAGTTTCAAAGTTTGAACAAAATAACTTGATATAAATGAATGGGTAGCACCAGTATCAAACAACACATGTGCTAATGAGTGAGAGATCAGAATCATACCCTCCACCACCGTGTTGCCGGCCTGTCCTCCAGAACTGTCTCCTGTCAGGGTATAAGCTTGTTATTGTGCTTTCCCTTTTCCTTTATTACCAATATTAAGCCTTTCTGCTCCTGGCCTATATTGTTGTGGCGGAGGTATTTGCACTGGTCCCGATGCTTGAGGCCGAAACTGTGGATATTGAGGCGGATGGTAGGTTGGCACATAAGGGTATGGCATTGGCATTGACAGCTGTGGCTGATAAGGCGGCACAAACTGTGGTGGCCTTTCTTAACCGTAAGAAGTATCACTCTGAGATTGCTGTTGAGTCGGCAGCCAATTCTGATTAGGGCAGTTCCTCTTGATGTGACCAATCTGCCCATAATGATGACACTTGGGTCGATAAGGACCACTCCTGTCACTTCCAGAGGAACTGCTACCACCACTAATCATTTCTCTGCTAATCTGTCCATGATTGCAGTTTCTCCTACCACTCTGTTGCGGCCTACCTGAAGCAGAAGGTCCACCAGAACCAGAAACTCGACCAGTTGCTTTCTTATTTTGCTGATAAGCTAGGTTATCCTGCTCCACGCTTGTAGCAGCAACCACCAAGTCTAAAAAATTTTTAATTCTCAGAGCCACCAGTGGTCTCCTTACAGAATTCTTAAGACCCTTCTCGAATTTAAGACACCTTAGGTGTTCGGACTTCACCATAGATGGTGCAAACCGGGATAAATCATTGAATTTTACCTCATACTCCCTCATTGACATATCACCTTGTAGCAAGGACATAAACTCCATTGCTTTTTCATCTCGGTAACTCTGTGGGGAGTATTGTTCATTAAAGAAAACTTCAAACTGCTCCCAGGTCATTCCTGCAACATCAAGCCTTTTCCTCACCTGTTTCCACCAAGTACTTGCTTGGCCTTCCATCTTATACACCGCGAATTCTATCCAATATTCCTCTGTCACTCCCATAGTGTTCAAGTGGTTAACTATGGAGTCAAACCAATACTCCGCTTCCTGGGATCCTCCCTCACTATTGAATATGAGGATATGTGCATGCCCAAATTCACAGAAGTAACTATGCTTCCTATCGTCGGCCGGTCGCTCATTCTGAGCTTGAGTGGCCATGCCTTGGAAAGCACCATACATGGCATCCATGAATTCTTGATTCTGTGGTGCCGGTTGGTTAACGGATCTACAACGCGACGAAATCTCCTTTAACTGAAAAGAAACTAGACTATTTAGTAGATTTCTGATGTCACACATGTATGTACAATCCTGTGGTCCCTAAACCTAAGTCTCTGATACCACTCTGTCGAGGCCCGAAGCCGGAGCCAGTGATGTGGAGGCTTGTTTAGGAGTTAAACGCGATTAAACATTTGAAATCATAATAATCAGAATCAAAAGGAAAGTATTTTAAGAAATTACCAAACGAACCCCCGCTATTTGGCAGAAAATAAATCACAAGAAAGCTACAAGGTCGCCCGCACTTTCTAAGTCGTTCAAGGATTCACCCACAGGATATGTAGCATTGTACATACATGAACATGTAAATAACATTACAAACATCAACCACAGTCTAGAAATCCAAAGTTTAGAGTAATATAATTTACAATTCTTACATATGTACACCATGAGGATGAACACAATCCTCACCAACTCAGGTGGTAGCAACTAACTCAGCTACTCTGCACTGCTCTTAGAGTCGCCTGGGAAGGGTTAATATTTATAAAATAGATAAAACGTCAGCGAAATGCCTAGTAGGATATATTTTAAAACAACTTTATAAATAAGTAAATAAATGAATGAGTAAATAAATAAATGAATAAGCAATTAAATAAATATAGACATTCAGTTCCAACACAACAGCCAGAATCTCACATCCTTTTTTTGAAAGGAATATAAACTGAAAATTATGTATTACAGGCATCAGAAAGTAATTTATCCTCCGATAAATTACTTACACAACCATAAGCACAAGCCTTATCACCACCATAGTGGCCCAGTCCGCGTTTCGGGTTCTGCCCCCAATGATACACTCTCCATATCCTATCTAGGCCATCAGCCGGTTTACCGATTCGTAAGATCTCTTATCTTAAGAAATCATTCATTAAACTTTCTGAAATAGTTCATTATCATTCCAATAGCTAAAATCAAGCTATTGTTTTGAAAATGCTTTTCTTTTGCAAACATGCCCTTTCTTTAAAACATTTGCAAGGCCAAAACTCTTTTTAAAATCAGGCTAACAAAGAAAGGGGTAAGAAATCCTACCTCGCAAGTATCAAACCTGGCTAGCGTTGCACTATTCTGACTTTCGCTTCCTCAAAGCCCTTCAATCTGAATCCTCAGCTAGCACTTATACAAAGCAACACTTTAGGATCCAATTCTCATTCCTAAAGCTATTCAAACTCAATTATATCCTTTGATTTCCTTTTAGTGTGCCTTAATCAAATTTCAAGTTTCATTAATCAACTCATGTTTCAAATCATCATTCTAAGGATTTTCAATCTAAAAAACATAGATTAAAGATGCTAATCCATTTACTTTAGATCCCCATATGAAGCTGATTTGGGTTCTTTTTAAAAATCAGGGTCAAAATAGGGTTTTCAAGCAAAACAGTGTCAAACCCCGTGTGCACCGGTTGACCGGTGACAGAGCAGTGCAACACCACAAGTCGACCGGTGGTATGCAATTCGGTTGACCACACATGTCGACGTGATGTAGTGCAATCCAGTCGACCGGTGGAGAACTGAAGTACGAGAAAACTCACCGAATCAATCTGAGAACATGCAAATCTGAGTTTAATTCGAGATTTTTCAAAGGGAAATCATCATATCCAAGTTCTAAATGACAAATATAGTCTAAAGAACTAAAAATCTAAATTTCCACCATGATTTTACCCAAAATCCATCAAAACCAGTTTTGAACAAAAATAGGTTTTTTCAAATCTGAAAAATTCAAGATTCAAGAGAAGCTTTTTAGAAATCTCACCTCAATCCTTCTCTTGAAGTTAAAAACTTCTTGAAATTCTCCTTTGCTTCAAGATTTGGTTGTTTTGAGACACAAACGGGAGAGAGAACGAGAGAGAGAGAGAGAGAGAGAGAGAGAGAGAGTGCACGGGAAAAGAAAGAGAATGAAGAAAAAGAAAAGAAAAGGGAAAAGAAAAAGAAAATGGACAGGTGTCACAAAATAAAAGACAGTCCAGAAAATGTGTCTACACATGCACACTCTGGGGTCAAAATGTAAATACTGAAAATATTTAAATAGCTTAGAAATATTTAAATTTACACGTCAGAAACATTTATTAATCAGTATTTAATCAATTAATCAGATTAGGCACACTAATAAATCTTAATTACCTTAATTAATCTCGTTTAATTCTTCGAGGTGTTACATTTTTATCATATTTTAGGTCGTAAAATCTAATAATTAGGTACATCAACATAAGTTTATTCATAGATATATGGTTTATCTATATTGTCACGGGTGGAACGGTCTCACCTTCGTAATATATAGAAGTGAAAACATAACATGATATTTATTTAATGTAACACCGAAGTTGAAAATGTGAGGTGTCAAAATAGTTAATTATTTTTTACTATTATTACACTTTTCTAACATTCATATTATGTTAAATAACTAAATTAAAGCGTAACAATGATATGAAATAGTTAATTTTTTTAATGTTATGTCTATCTAATATCTGTGTTATATTAAATAAATGTCATGTTTGTTTTACATTAGATGATTTTTTTGTTACTTTTTTATTTCTTCATGTTACGAAAATGAGACTGTCCCACCAATGAGATCATAAACAAAGCCTACATTTATATATTTATTTATTTATTTATTTGTATTCAACTTTCTTTGAATTGAAATATGTAATATGAAATTTATATTATCAACGTATAAAAACATGATTTTATATGAAAAAGTATAACACTAATTTGGGCTACTAAAATATCATACAATCACGTCGTTTTAAACTCTAACGAATTGAGAGGAGATTAATAGTGTCCTCACATCCCCAACCTTCAAAGTGACAGTAGCCCAAATAGCATAATTTCAACCTCACTTTCTATGGGTAATGAAATCGATCTCTGAATACTAAATAAAAAAACTTTGATAGGTTGTCTTTCATCACTATACCCCACTAGTGATGATGCCATTCTATACCTCTTACTTATACATACTAAAAATTGACCATACAGCTTACAGTGGGAGAATAGACCTAATTCCATGACCACGGTAATAAATTATAACGAAATAATATTAGTATTTTTTTTTTTTTTTGCTGATTAAAAAAAGAAGATCTAGTGGTGCACCTCACGGCCCCATTCCTTTCGACCGTTAAGGCAATCTCGGGGACTATCAAAGAATGAAAAGGGCTGAATTAGACTCCAGTCCATCCATCTTAAAATTCAACCAAAAAAATATAATAAAAAAAAAAATCACTCACCTAGCCCTTTTTCCTTCGCACTAACAGAAAATGAAAAAAATTTAAAATAAAAAAAATTCACTCACCTAGCCCTTTTTCCTTCGCACTAACAGAAAATGAAAAAAATTAATATCGTTTCTATAACAATCCAACAAAGAACTTTCACCAATTTTTATTAGTGACTCCACTTTTTCTTTTTCGAGTAAAAACTTGGAACAAAAAACTTGCCCATTTGGGCTAACCTTAACCCAACACCCAAACATGAGTCATGACATATGTCCAAAGTCGGCCACGGACCCGACAGACAAGGGCTGGATGTGTTGGTGGGTCGAGACCCAAACACTTTATGTACTAACCACCAACCTGTTTATTTTGCCCAAAATCATGCCACTGGCCACCCACATGCATGTCTTGTACCTATATTTATAACATGACAACAAATAAAATCGAATATATTTCACATAACAAAAAATAATAATAATAAAAAAATAAAATAAACCCAGAAACAAAACAGTCGGGGATTAGGATTTAAGAGATTTTCGGGGCCCAAAAGAAACAAAATCAAAACTCAACTTAAGAGATTTTATGGGCCAAAAACACAAAGCAATACTATGTTTTCAGTTTCAAAATCAATGCGAATGAGCGTGTTTTGGTTTGCTTTTCAGTGAAAAAAATTAGATTAGGGGTCAGTACGTCTAATCAGAGTTCCTTTTTTGGGTGCAAATTTCTCCCTTTTTTTTTTTTGGGCGGGACCATTAGCTATAGAATTTGGGGTTCATGACTTCATGTCCATGTGCGTTATGTGTACAACCAAAGACCGTTTCCGTTTGTGATGATGGTGTGTGATCCAACTTTCCCACACAAAGCATTAAAAGTTGATAAATGCTTAAGATACACACTTATATCAGGACAATTTATTCAAGATTAAGATGTGTGATGACCTCTAGCTTTCTATGCTTTCAATGTCAAACTCCAAACATGATATTTGATATATACATATACACACACACACACATATATATATATATATATATGTTTTTGCTGTCACACTGCAGAGAGAGAGAGAGAGAGAGAGAGAGAGAGAGAGAGAGAGAGAAGAGAGAGGTAGAGAGAGAGAGAGAGAGAGGTTTAATGTTTGTCACACAACCTTATGAATAGTACTAATGTTTTGACTGGTTGTATCACATTATAACTATCAATATATACAAATAATAAAATTAGTGAGCCAAACACGTCTCAACTCTCAACTCTCAACATCAACATTGATTGTTTTGTTAATTAAAAACTTAATTAGCAATAATATTATCCATAGTGACAATAATAGAGTGGCTAAAAAGTTACACACACACGCACACACACAATCAGAGTTTTATCAGTTCATTGTCATTTAGAGCTAACAGTTACAACTCCATTCCTGC